GCTATCTCACCCGTATACATAGGTGCGGCTACACAGAATGCACCACCTGCAATACCCAGCAGGAAACGAGCGACAAACATCATGGGCACATTTTGCGCCCAAATTAGCAAACCCCAACCTAGAGTGAAGGGTAGCACCAGCAACAACATTGCCAGCTTACGTCCCACCAAATTGATGAGTATACCAGTTGGTATGCAAACGAACGCCGCACCCAATGTCATGGCTGAGCCAACCCATGAGAATTCGCTTTTCGACACCTCAAAATCATAAGCGCCGTTATTGATCTTTACTTCGGCGGGTGATGTCCAACCGAGCAGTGTACCAGCGGCAAATGCGCCACCAGCAGCTGACAAAGCCGCCACATATTGTGGTAGGGTCTTTGAGTTGCTCTCACTCGTACCGTGAACCATGCTGCTGCCGAGTAGGTTTTCTTGATCCTGTGGAGAAGAAGAATAGAAGAAAAATTAGTAAACAAGTTGCAAGTAATTAAATTTAGAATTAAATTGCAAATGGTAAACGGTAAAAGTCAAAGTCAAGTGCGCAAATTATGTTGCGATAAGTCAACTTGACAGTTTCATCCATCAAGATAGATAGATATTCGCTTTAAGGCTATAAAATTGCAAGCTATTCAGAAAAGCAAGCTGTCGCAAACCAAGCTTCATCGCAAAAATGGCAGCTGGAAGATAACAGCGCCACTTTGCAAATTAACTTTCGTAGGCATTAATAAAGGAGTAAGCTTAAAATTGCTTACGGGGAGGCGTACAACGCTACAGGCAGATTTTCGCCCGTTGAAGAAATTCAATGCAGTATGGTATATTTTTTCTGAGTTCTGATGAGATTATCGCAAAAGGCAGCCTTTTTACTGTACTTTAGGCAAGCTTGGATTTAAGAGTCTTCAGTAAAAAGGTCAACAACTCGCAGGTCACTACCACTGCTCATACTAGCAGATGAGCCAAGGGAACCACTTGGAATATAACTACTCAAGCAAATGGATGAAACCAAAAGGTCAATGTAAGAAGTTTTCTATACCACTCTACATTAGCATGGCGATGAGTTTAAAAAAATTGCCCTGAGCCTATGGGCTTTTAAGAGATATCTATGATCGTCACTGGTCTAATATGTAGATGCATTTGACAATAGCATTGATTTTCCATGCAACGATTTTTCTACAACACCACTATTCGGCGCGATGGTTTTAAACTCAAAAACACTAAAAGAATACATAGATAAGATTGTGCTCTGCTGCTGTTGTCAAATGATTTTTTCTAGATTTATTAAACGTAAACATACATCAAACTCAACTGGCAATTAGTTTAAGAAGTGTGCTATTTCCTTGAGGTCATACACTCTTATCTCAGCAGCTTGCTTATCTTTAGTTCAATAATGGTTCAGCACGTGCTTTCAAGAATAAAAATTTCCATTATATTCAATTATCAAAAAAAAATAAAAAATTAAAAATTTAGTCACAAAAATACACTGGGTAATTTTCCACTATTTGTCAAGTACACTGAAAACGAATATTTAAAGTTCTTATTAATTTTTTAATTTATGCAAGAACATACATACACATGTACATTAGACTGCATCACCAAAAAAAGTTGCAGTTTTTCAGCCGGGATTACAAAATTTATTATATTTTAAGACGTCCACCAAAATATTAAGATTTAAGCGAGCTGGCCCGATTTGAAAATACCTCCAAAAATGAAGTAGTTTATGAATAAAAATAGTTTCTTAAAGAACTTTTTGAAAAAAGTCCCTTAAGCTTAAAGAAAGCTTAAGCTTAAAAAATCTGCATAAAAATATTTTCAACGGAATCGTAAGGATGAGATTTTTGATGCTGTTTTTTTTTTACTTTTTTCAAAGATTGGTTTACGAAAAACTTGAATAACTGGGCCTAAAATGTTCTGATTTAGACTTATGGGATCACAGTAGAAAGGTATTTTCCCACTGTTTTTATTTCCGGCCAAAAAAACGTCATTCGTGTCCCATCTTGTTTTTCGAATACCAACACATCTTAATTCAACTTTGAATGACGTTCGTTCATCCTACCTTTCTCTTCCAACCTTTGAATAGGTTATTGGTTGGGCAGAAATAAAAGGGTGAGAAAATACCTTTCCAATGACACCTCTTAAGTCTAAATCGGAAGAGTTTAGGTTCAGTTATTCAAGTATTTCCTATACCAATCTTTGAAAAAAGTTAAAAAACAGCATAAAAATCTCATCATTACGATTCCGTTCAAAAATTTTTTTTAATTTTTTTTAAATATTTTTATGCAAATATTTTAAGCTTAAACCGTTTTGTCATTTGAGGGGATTTTTTCAAAAAAAAATCATTGAGAAACTATTTTTATTCATAAAAAACTCTATTTTTGGAGGTATTTTCAAATCGGTCCAGCTCACTTAAATCTTAATATTATTCCGAAATATTTTGGTGGACGTCTTAAAATATAATAGATTTTATAATTCCAATGGAAAAATAGTACCGATTTTTTTTTTGTATGGGAGTGATGCAGTCTAATGTACATACATATGTATACAATTATATATCATGTGTACATTGTTATATACATAAGTAAGCTCTCGGCCCCCAAGGCGCTCTTTTCTAATCAACAAATAAGAACGACTAAAAAAACTTGCAAAAAAAGCTAGAGAGGGCTCGCCCTCTCGCTTTCGTTGGCGCTCTAAACATACAAATCCATACACACACATGTATATGCAGGTATACATACGCACATATTTATATATACATATGTACAATATATAAATGCTTATGCAATTGGAGGCCCGCCAGCTAACCAACACCATTTAGTTCATTTGATTGTTGTTTTTATATCTACATTTACAACTTTTTTTTAACTTTGGAACAAATTTGCGTTCGTGTTTGTGGTAAGGTGTTAAAATCGATAAGCGAACAACTTCTGAGCGCAAAGGTAAAAAAGGCATATATGTACATACATATCGTTGCTTTAATATAGAAAGGCCCTAACTGATATTGTCGCTGAAATACAAAAAGCCGTAACTAAGTAAAAATCCAAAATTTCCTTTTTGATTGTTTATGATGCACATCATCGAATTATAAGTCCCCACATCATTTTAAGCAATAAAAAATTTTAGTCAGTTACGGCTTTTTTTGTGTTTCAGCGACTATATGAGTTAGGGCTTTTCTATATTAAGGTAACGATATATATATATCTCAAGAGCAAATACCAGTAAAAAATTAATGATTGTACCAAAAATATGAACATACGGTCACATGTTATGCATGCCAAATATAAATATTCAAGAATTTCGACAGAAATGAAAAAAGATAGATTTTGTAGAACTCTTATTTGAAACATTTATTTTTATGCCCATAACTCAGAAAGCAGATCATGAACAAAGATAAAAAACAAGTAATTTTTTAGCAAAAAACAAAACCGACTTCAATTCTCATATAAAAATTTTAAACCAAATTAGTAGGTATGGGTACTTTAAAAAACATACATAAAAAAAAAATAATAATTATTCCGACAAATTGATAACCTCCTTCTTTTTTGAAGTCGGTTAAATATAAATATGTATAGGTGATCACCAGAATAAAAACGATAAATTTATCGATAGTAAATCAATATTGATATTATTAGTATACAAAACAGAAACGATAAAATATAAGAAAATTAATTTTAAAAACATCGATAACTTAAGTGTCGAGAACGATAATTACCGATAAAGTATCTGTTATGACTATCATATCGAAAACGATAGGAATAACGATAACAAAAACTGCTAGCGATAGCGATAACAAAGTGGAAAACCTACGATAATATCAATAGAAATATTTGTATCGATAAATATAGCTTAGATGAATTTAATGGATTGGAATAGGCTGAAATTGATTATTGATTTCAAAAATATCGATAACTTAATAATGTCGAAAAACATAAAAATATCGATAAAGATATCGACTATGGTAATCATATTGATTATTATGATCGAAAACGGTAGGGATAATATAGTATATAAGCGAAAATTATTTGCGATAACGATAACAAAATCTATAACTTTTATAACGTCTCTAGAAGTAAGTTTATCAATAACTACATATGTACATATGTATAACCTGGATGAATATGAATAAATTAATTGGATGGATTTTGAATAGGTTGGAAAATTATACGAAAACCCAGGTGCCATGGTGCCGAAGGTAAGGCTTCAAACTTCCCGGTCTGCATAATGCATCTAAGATAATTGTTGTGGGATAGAGAGTGTAACGGATCTATTAAAAATACATCTGAGTAAATAGTTTCTTCTTAGTCTAGTGAATGACGTGTAAAAAAGTGTCCTCATTCAGAAAGTCGGAAATAGGGTCTGCAAAACTTTGGCCGATAATTGGCTCTGGTTCGAAACCTGACTGCGCTTCAGATCGGCAGTTTACTAATCAGCCATCTCGTTACGTTGAACATCTCTACTTATGACCTGGTTGCCAAATAAGTTCAAACTTGTCTCACTTTGCCAAGAAATTTTGACTGAATTCACAGCCTTGCATCATACATATTTGAGACCTCCTAATCACCATTATTCCTCACTTTTCACTGAGCTTTCGTAAAAATCTGCAGGTTTGAACTTTTCGACCAGATACGTGAAGATGTGTGCGGTTAAAGGGTATTTTGGTTATCTCAATTGTTCTCTAGATGGCACAGTGTATCATTTGTGCCAACTTTTTTTGACCTTCCAAGGTTTAGGAGATCGAATAATTAGTATCAATTCTCGTACGGAGACCATTGAAACAACTTGCCTTGTATTACTAGGGATGCTAACGATATGTCAAAGAGCTTTGAATGAGATATGATCTAAAGAAGAGGCACTTTCTACCTAAAGTTACTTATCACTAAAAATATAAAAATAAGCGGAATTAGTCTGCAAATTGATGATACAGAGAGACAAACACGTTCCTCAAAAATGTAATAAAGATTTCGAAAAGATAAGCAAATCTTTTGAGGTACGGCAGTTAAATAAAGAATAAGCCTAAAATAGACACTATCGCTAATTTTTATAATGGTTTGTCTAAACAACTGATATACAAATTTGCACGAGTTTTTTGTATAAATAGATATGTACATATTTATTAAAATATGTATATATGTACATAAGTAGGTATCTAAACAAATATAAATATGTATTAAATACAAAGGTAAAGTCTTTAAAGAAAGATATGTACATGTGTATGTACATAAATATTTATGTATGAAATAATATCAAACTGGGTAACGTTGACGCAAATCAGCAATCACACGGTAAACATCCATCATAGATACTAAAGTTATGGGGTATTAAAGCCAAAGGCGATAGAATCGAAGGAGAGTGAGTGAAATTTCGCTTAATTTAGTAATTGGACATCGATTGACATCGGATAAGAAAATGTGTGTACCTACTAATTACATATTGTGTGCAAAGAATTT